ATATTGAAGTTACTGTGAGCAAAAGTGAGTTTATTTTACACTGATTGTTACTTATATAAACAACACGTACATCTAGTATCAGCCTGTCTTCTCACAGGTCCACTGGTAAAATATCCATTGAGTGTAAACACCTATAATAACAGAATGATTCTTGTTTGTATTCAAAACATCCATATTAAGTTGAGTAATAAAACCATAATTTGTTCATGAAGCTTTTTATTACAAACCTCCACTGTGTAGGATGTTAAGTAGCTCAGATTTTCAAATTCAAATCGACATGTTTTGTCCTTCTTGCTGCTGCCAGGATCACCTTGAAGTTGTGCAATGAATTTTCTGTCTGGTCCATTAAAATCAATGTCTTTTAATGAACATGTCACTTGGATCTTATTGTTCTCTGGAACTGTCACTACAACGTTATGAAGTAGTTCCTGTTCTGAAAGAGGAAGAGAGAGGATAAATATCAGGACAAATACATGGAGAGGAAAATCTTTTGTTTCAATAAGAATCTTAGAAATAACAAAAAAAGAAAAAAACATTAAAATGATTTAAAAATAAAACATGACCAGATTTGTTACTGACCAAATATTGAACAAAGATCTAAAAATATCTGACTTACTCTGACACTATAATGCAGATAGATTTATGTTGATATTTTATCTGCAGTTCAAAATAAAAAAATAAGAGAACTCAACATCTAGTGTAATTGCTACATTGTGTTTTGGTTTGTTTTCCCAACCATATTTGATTTGTAAACATGGATTTCTCTATTATCCAGCACAAAGTCACACCAGTTTTGTGTGAAGCTGCTGTGACTCTCCAGGATTAGACATAATAAAGATGAATTTCTGAGCTTAAACTAATTTATAATTATTTCTCTTTCTGCAGAACTTTACAATGATGGAATATGTTGAGATGCATTTTGTGTTGTGAAAACAATATAACTTTTTTTGCATGAATGGAAAACCAGATGAAAGAATGATTTTCAAAACCATAAGAATTCAGTTTGGATTGCAATAAAACCTGTTTAAACCGATGAAGGATTGACTTTGTGTCCCTGAATCTAAAAACTAAATTCATGACTTAATTTCTTAAAGAAGAGTTGCATTTCCTGACAGATAACATTTATATACCCTTGACCAAACAAAACATAAAAACAAACAAATTCATATCAAATTAATTTAAAACAGTGTTTGTAGATTGTATTATTATTTCAATAAACATATTTTCTTGGTTACTTACTTCCAGACTTAGTTTTCCCTGTAACTCTTGTTTCCTTGAAACGCCCTTGTCCAGTGTAGACGTGATGAACGTAACAGCTGTAATCCCTGAATGGTTTAACTCCTCTGGTGATGGTACACATTCTTCCTTCATGATGATGAATCGGTTTTTCTTCAATTGTAACATATCTTCCATCACCTGTTTTGTTATTGGTTTGACAACAGCAGCTTGTTATAAAAGATCTTTATACTCATGAAAATGATTAATATGTTGAAACAGAGTTTGGTCTGTTTTTCATGTTAAACATTAAATAAAGAAACATTTTTATTAAAATCATCCTCAGGTCACTGATAGTTTAGAGTCACAGCTTCACTGATCACATCTGGTTATTTTACACATTTTTATCTCCTCTTGTGTAAAAGACATGAAGCTGATAAATTAATGAATTTACAATTAATCAGTTTATTTTAAATGGCTGCAATAATCCAAATGTATTAAACATTATTTAATGTAAATATAATATGGAAGAATAAATCTCTTCATTCCTCTTACCTCGCTCATCTTGCTGACAGCTGCAGTGATAATGGAGCTCATCCAGTTCATTAAGAACATCTTGACATTTATTACTCATCGTTTCCCAGTTCAGCTCAATAGAAGTACTGGTTGAACTGTTCTGCAGGTTGTTTACTGTGAAATCTGTTGGAATAAAAAAGCAAAAACAATGAATAATGTCCTGATAATGTTTTTCTCTTCATGTTAGTATAATAACTTTGTTCTTATTTCCAGTGAGATGCAGCAAATACCAACTCACCACAGTCTATGTTGAATTGGACAGGAGGAAGTGTCTGGATTATGGAGACATCGTTCATCTTGATGTCACCAGTACAGCTGTAGCTTGTGAACGGCTTCATGTCAGACGGTTCAACAGAGTCATTGTTCATTCCTGAAGAGACACAAACATTTAGTCATTTCTGCAGAATCTGCTGTCTGTATATTAACACTGATCAGCTGCTTTATTCTTTACATTTTGACAGCTGAGACGAAATAAAAACTCCGAGCTAATTTACAAAGGTATCGTGAATGATTTAGATTGAAACATATTTCATGTCACTTCAAATATATAAGAATCTGTTTCTGTAGTTTTTACCTGAACATTTGTACTCGACAGTGAGATCTTTAAAGCTTGGAGGTAACTTTGCTTCTATCTTTGCAGGGAGTTTTGTGGGTTTAATCTGAATTATGTCCTTTGGATCAATGGATCCTGGAGAAGAAGAAAGAAATTTGGATATTTTATCGTAAGATAATTTGATTTATAGTTCTAGTTTTATATGTAGTAACAGGAAGTAATTCAGAGTGGCATCAGGTTGACTTTTATGCATTTTTTAAGGTAATCCAAAAACTAAATGTGAACAAATGACCCAATAACCACTGATGAACTCTGCAACTTGAACCTGTTTTGAAAGTAACAGAAACATCCATGAGGACAGGAGGCTTTTATAAAATCATTATCTGAAACAGATATCTGTTTCACAGATTGTTCTAATTGCAGCAAGTTAAAAACTCCACCATTGGTGCTGCTTTCTGTTCACAGCACAAAAGAGGCACATGAGGCAAAACTACACAGTTTTCTCTGGTTAAAACCAACAATAAAACTAAAGGAAATGAAGAAACAAAGTAGAGACAATAATTATGAGACGCTATGATCAGAAAGCACCTATGAAGGAGCTTTTTTTGTTTCTTCCATCATTTTTGATACATATCATGTCCTTGTTAGCAGCACAACTATTCATCACTTTACACCAAGGTCAAAGTTGCAACAAGTTTCAACTCTGAACCGAGGCAAGCAATATTTTCACAGAGCTGAGCGCACCGTCAAGCTGCTTTTCTTCTCACATTCTCACTGTTGATCTCTACTGTTTTGTTAAAACAAAATAGTAGAGATCAAATTTGACTCATTTCAGTTGTTGAAGTTTTAATTTCAGGGCTGCTACAGAGGATTTATCTGCCATCAGTTTGACTCTGAGCTTATATTTAGTGCATGGCTGTAGAGGATTGATTTCATGAGTTGATTTTTCTTTGGAGAAAGAAACGTTGGCTTCTCCTCTAACTGAATATTCATCTTCAGCAAAATATAAAACTATTTATCATCAGTAAAATCTGTCATCTTTATCGAGAAACCAGACTGGATGGTTTCAACACTGTCAGAGCCTGTAAAGCAACAATTTTACTATCACATGAAAATGGTTGAAATATTTAATCTCAAACAACTGGAGCTAAAAAATAATAATAATAAAAAAATAATCTAACATTTTTATTCACAACAAAGAGACTCTAAATAAACAGGGACAAGAACTGAAAAAAAAATAAAACAATAATAAATGTGTGTTTTAAAAAAATATATATATTAGTTTTTAAAACCTGAAACACACTTTGGGTCTGATTCAGCTGCTGGGAAAAAGAAGAAAACATCAACATTATGATTAAGATACATTTATTGAAACGCGTCTTCGAGTTAAAGTGAACCCTTTGATTCTCAGCAACATCTAAAATCCGGTCTGTGATAAAACTTCACTAAAGTCTTTTAAAATAAATAATAAAAGTCCAAGCTGTGGTGGAAGCGCTCTTACTGGTGTTTAGTGAGATGTTGTAACGCTACTAATAACAATAACAATAATAAGAACAATAATAAAATATTTTTACAAATATTTTTTGTAACACTGTTAAATGTGTGAACTTTTCTAATGTTTTAAATTTCTGCTCACATGTAATTTCTCTTTTGTGAAAACATATTTTTATCATTTTCAGGCATATTATAGCTGTCATACTCATATTGGAGTAATACGACACAAAATAACAATTATAATATTTGACATCTCTCTTTACATTTTTCTGAGTGACATCAGTTTTATTGCATTGACAAAGTTGTGACTGACACTGATAAAAGTATTTTGGAAAAGCTTCCAAAGTATTAGAAATAAACAATAAAATGACAATAATACTTTTACATCTTTCAAATATAAAACATTCCTTAAAAACAAGAGTTGCTTTAAAACTTTATTTTATTTTTCCTATCATAGCAATAGTGAATAGATCTGTTATTCTGTAAACTAGCCAGATTATTATCACTTTTTAAAGTCAATCACATCTCACTGAGGTTTATAGACAAACATTAATTACTTACCCAGGACCGGAGCGTTTACAGCCCATATGAGCAACATAACGCCTCTGAGACCTGCCATATCCAGGAGCATCAACTGTCTACAGATGAAACTAACGCGAAATATTTTATTGCATCAGCCCCCCAGACCTAATCTTACATGCAGAATCAAACTTTAAGTTTTTTGTTGCATGACGTGGTACAGGAAAAGAAGAAAACCACACGTCTAGAGCACAGATTAAAAAATAAGGGTTAATGAGTCTTACAGTTTGTTGCAAATTGCAGATATTTGTAACTTTCTGCATCGTTGTGGTTTATGCTGCACAGTTAAAAGAAAGGCTACAACCAGGAGGGTGACTTTAATATTGGAGATGTTTTTGAAATTAATAACATAGCTGATAGTTATAAGAGGTATTATTATTTATATTTAAAACATTATGTTTGAGCTGCAGAGCTGTGGTTAGCCGATGAGTGCAGCTACGTCAGAAATGCATCCAGATTAACCAAAGCAACAGAAAACACACAGATAGAGAACTGTGGTTCGCTGAAATAAGAGCATAAACATGCAGATCTTTAACATTTTGTAAATGAAAAATTGTTAGCCACTAAATACATTTTGTTGCGTTCTTAGAGTCTCTACTAGTGTCAGAACGTTGAATTTAGTCTGCCCTGGTGCTGCGTAGATGCTGTTTTACTCTGAAACATTTTTTAGTCTGTTCAGTTTTCTCTATTCTCTATTATGTTTATTGAACTATTATGTCACAGTATTGTTTTCAGAACTCTTTAACAAGATAATGGACTTTTGCAAATTCACTATTTTTACTTCTTGCAGCAGGTCCTCCTTGGTTGCATGAAGCGCTTCAAGGACGAGTGATGCAGCAAACACCAGCAGTGAGATTTGCTTAAACACTTTATCTGGTTGACAAGTCAATTCCTTCTGTCTATGAAAACGATGAGAACAGCAAAGCAGTAAGCTGCAAATAATGCCAAAATGACAATCAATCAATCAATCAATCAAATGTTATTTGTATAGCACATTTCAATAGCAAGGCATTTTAAAGTACTTTACGTAATAAAAAAACAGCATGTCACATTGAATAAACAGTAAGAAAGAGAAAGAGATTTTGAAAAAAAAAGATTAAAAAAGATAAAAACATTAAATGTTTTCTTGATCTGCAGCTCCATCAGATCTTCATCAGTCGCCTTTGATGAGTTCAGGAGGTGGC